AGAAAAAAAATATATATATATATATATATATATATATATATATATATATATATATATATATATATATATATATATATACTTAGAAAAAAATTCAGACCATTATTTGGGAAGTCTTTCTTTTCTAAACCGTCATCAGGAACAGTTTCTTTTCCTGAGTTTTCCAGGTATAAATTGCATTTTCGTGACTGTGGGACATTTTGCTTGTTTTGTCTCGGATCTCCTGAAGCAATACGCCAATGTAGTTCTTACGCCTTTATCTGCAGTATATAATTTGTGTTAAATTTTTGCAGCTCTAGTACATCGATATTTGGAAGTCCAGGCCTGAAAATTAAGTACACCATCGATCAGGTTAACAATGTTGGTACACTAATTTGTTGTCAGGTCAAAGCCTGTGGTCGTCCGTAAGTATCGCTTGTTAAACTTTGCTATATACAATAACCAGAATGTTTTGTAGCCATGCGTGTATGCATGCATGCATGTCCTCATTACTATAGGGTATAGTAGGGAACCTAATATGTGTTGGACCTCACCGAGGTCTTGAATTTTGAAATATTTCCGGATGTAGCCGGATTCATGTTTCCCTTGTTAGGGTCAGCAGGTAGAGTTAGGGATAGGCATGGAGTTAGGATCAGGAACTTTAAAACAGCCGAGACATAACCTATAACTCAATTTTTAAAGCGAGAACGTAACGCTGGCCAATTTAGTGATTTGTAAAAATGCTCCGTTGAAGAGTCCGGGTTCGAAAACGACGTATGTATGAAATGACACACCACGACTACTACAAAACTCGGCAGTTCGCTTCGGCTTGCTCCAGTTATGACCTCTATGGCTAGGCCGGCCAAACATCCTTCGTGTGGCTCAGCCCTCAGTGAGAGCACGAAGTCATATTGCTTGCTTTATAATATTTTTTTTATCTTCATGAAATGAGTTAATAAAACTTACATTTATCTTATTTATTGTAGATGGAGTAATCAGTGTTCGTCGTTCAAGTTTTATAACATTGGGTGTTCATCATCGAGTCTCAGTGCGACCCTTCCGTGGGGAAATAACCTTGCCACCCCTGCTATAAAATGTTATGGAAATCCATTTGGAACTTCGCTGTCATGGAGTCATTGATTGATTGATTGCATACCCAATAATACACATGTTATGGACTGACTACATCTTTTCAAAATAATTTTATGTAATGTAATTGAATGTAATACCAGTAATTGTAAATACAATGTTGTGATTGAAATTAAAAATTCTGCACCAGTTATATCAATTCGCTTCGTAGAATTTTGATACGGTTCATTGCGTCATAATTTAACTCCTTTTCAGCGGTGGGTTTCCGCAGTGCAGGACCGTAGCGAGGAAATTGCCGAGTGCGAATGACGTCACATGCGTCACGTGATTTTAACATACCTAAATGCCACAAACGTATTAACACTGCCCCCCCCCCCCCCCCCAACCTCCGCCAGCCACTTTTCTCATCCGATTTCGACGAATCGGAAAATTGCATAAACCGAACTTGAAGGACACGTCCCCCAGACCTCCCCCGTAATGCCACTACTGCAAACAATGGAAGAAAATAAGAAGATTGTGAATATTTCTTTCAAAAAGGTTTGAGCAAATGTTCAACATAATTATTAATAGAGCAAGAGATAAAATGAATATAACTAGGTCCGTAGAAGCTGTGGAACTTAAGAGGAACGAGGAAAATCATCTGGTGTTAGCCAGAATAATATACTAAAGACTGCAGTGGACTTCGAGATCTCATACCAATTTAAAGTGCAGCGCCTTGAGAAATTCACTTTCCCGCTGCATTAATTAATATTTCAAACAACTTTGGATATTATCATTTGCGTTGGTAACTTTGTTCATCTTAGTTTGTTTTGAGACACGTTTGAAATGCAAACAAGATTCTCTATTGAGCATCAAGTCGGTGGGATTATGAATGTTCAGGAAAAGAACGCATTATAAAACAATTTCATGCAGTTAAACTACTTGAACTGAAGTTGTGTCAGTTAACCATTCACACCATTTTGAAATAGCTTTAATTTTCTGTTTGGTTAAACTATCAGCCAGTGAAGAATTAACAAGCAACTTAAGGAATAGAATGAACAAGCAACTTAAGATGGTCTTATACCCTAAAATCTTGATCTCGATCATTTTTTAATTATTCATAATTGAATCTCCAGTCATGTTAGAATACATCAGTGAAGATATTTTTGCAATAGACCGTAGAAAAATGTAGAAAAATTTCTTCTTCTTAGCCTACATCTGATTTTCTGCTTTAGCAACGCCCATAGCAACAGAAAAATGCATTCAAACAACTGCTTTATTTTCTTTTTTTTCTGTACTTATCCCTCTCCTGGATAATCCTAGTTTGTCTATTGAATCGCGTCAACCAAGACCAGTGAGAAAAAGAGCAAAATAAACCCTAGGCCTAAAACTATAAAAAGTAAAAACGGAGAAGCAAAAAGCTGGCTTTCTTAGGCTATAAGGTAGAAGTCGAAGTATATGCAATGTGGCTGCAACAACAACAGTTTTAAAGACAAGATATGAAACGGTTCTTTTAAGAACCACCAAATTTACAAAAGAATGTAAATAAATTTTTATATGATCCACATTACTATACTGTACGCTCTGTGCGTGCCCCTTGTACGTACGCTGATGACGTTATACATGTCAATTTACTTCCCGAGGAAACAGACAACTTTCGCTTGCTTGCTTGACAATAAATAGGTGATTCCATCCATGGACGAAATTTTGATCTAGACAAGAACGAAATCCAATACCCGTCCTAGAAAGGGCATCTTAAAATGAATAAAAATGGCGAAGTTTGGCTGCGAAATGTTGTAAAATGGAGAAAATATAGCCCTGTAAAGTTCGCAAATTTTGTATATATTTGTATTACGCGAGGAAAAAACAACCATTTTTGAGCAGAAAGTGGTTATTTTTACCGCGCGTAATACAAATATCTACAACATTTGCGAACTTCACAGGGCTATATTTCTTCATTTCACAACATTAATTGCAAACTTCGCCGCAATTTTACTCATTTTAAGATGCTTTTTCTACAATCACGTGCAAAAATAATGAGACTTTACGTATTTCAAACATTTTTTTTCATTTTGACACATCTACACTAATATAATTCGATCTTTTCTTACCATTCCCCCCCTCCCCCCATTGACAATGTTGGGTGAATGTTTTCAGCCAACACTGTGGTTTGGTATATCATGGAAACAACCTGATTGTTTTTTTTTTGGGGGGGGGGGAATGGGGAGCAAACATTGAACTATAAATAAACAGTTTATTTATAGTTCAATGGGAGCGAATAGGATGTCTCAATAAATTTTTGCTCCTGATTGTAGGTGTGCATGGTGTTGGATTGCGTTCTTCTTGACTAGATCAAAATTTCGCCCGTAGCTGGAATCACCCATTTGATGTATAAATTGACAAATTCAGACAAAGTGCGTTTCAGATTCAAGATCTGCAATGGTCGATTCACCTAATCAGTCATATGCATTGAACTATAAATAAACTGGAAGGCTAACTCAGGGGGGGAATTGAAGCCAGTGCATTTTAGTTTTTCTGAGTTATGAGCAGAAATACTCAACACTGAACGTTGGGCTATATATCAAATTGAAGCTATTGAAAAACGCTATTTGGTGTAGAAATTTCAAAACTTTAGCTAAAAGGGAAGTATTAAAAAACTACAAACATAATTACCGATAATTTGCCGTTTTGCAGTTGTTTTTGTATTTTTTAAATATTTTTCTTTTCGCTGAAGTCTTGAAATTTCCACACCAAATAGCAATTTTCAATAGCTTCAATTGATATATAGCCCGACGTTTGGGGTCAAGTATTTCTGCTCATAACTCAGAAAAACTATTTTGGCTTCATCAAATCATAGGCCTTCATCATACCAGTTAGCCTTCCAGTTTATTTATAGTTCAATGGTCATATGCAAGCGAAAATTGTCTATTGCAAAAGTATTAATTTTACTGGAATAAATTAGACTTTCACAGACTTTTAGAAGGTAGAACAGTGTTCTGAGAATTTAACCCAGAAGCCAAACATACAGACGTTTGAATTTCAATGTTTTTCACACAAGCGTATTATTTGACGACCATATTATGCTTGGACAAACAGATTTTCATATGTATTTACACATCCCGGTTATGATCATGAAATATCTGAAAACGGCTAGACATGAAATTATATTTGTCCATGCATAATATCAGAAAATAATCATCGTTAAAGGCACAGTTCAGCCTTTTGAACGATGGTGTTAAGGCGCATTTTAGCCCTTTTAATTGAAAAAACTAACTGGGAAAATCAATTAAGCATAATTCAAGATCACCAAGCTCAATGTTTTTAACATTTTAAAACATTTTTATTTTTGAAAACATCGACTTTACTGATTTTGAATTATGCTTAAATTATGCTTAATTGATTTTCCAAGTTAGTTTTTTCAATTAAAAGGGCTGAAATGCGCCTTAAAAAACATCATTCAAAAGGCTGAACTGTGCCTTTAACAACTTCGCTATCCGTATCTTTGTTTGGCTCCAAACATGGACACTGTTTTTTAAAGCCAAATGAAAAGGAGGGAAACCGGAGAACCCGGAGAAAAACCCTCCACCGGCGGTCCGAATTTGGTATTTTTAAATTGAAATATTTTCCGCAACTTATATGGGATGGACCTAATCCCCCCTGCATAATTATGTGTGTGTATGTGCAATATATATTCATCATACTAACTATTACAAAAAACACTCGGTTCCGCTTCGGCCGCCATATTTGAACACTCTTACTCCAATCAAGCACCAAAGTACTTGTTTTCCACTATGTTACACTACGATATCCTGGTGGTCGTTTACTTATTTGCTATCGCGCGCGCTTCTTCTTTTTACGCTGCATCATCGGACATTTGCTTTCGCTCGCAACGGCTTGATCCCCCGGATGCATGCGCGCGATTGATCCCCCGGATGCATGCGCACGCAGTTACGCGATGCAACCTATTTGATATCATGCACCTGCATCTTACCTCAAATCGAGGTATAATGCCTACACACTATATCTCAATATTCGAAATATAATGCATCTTACTTGAAGTAGCTCATGCACTGAAACGCCAAGCTGCGTTTTTATTATCATGCACGATCCTAAACTGATGGTACTATTTTGTAACATTACATGCACCTAACACATGCACCTAACACATGCACCTAGTTTAGACCTTAGTACTTGAGATATCACTCATCTTACAACATCGTTGCATTCACACATAAGCGACAATTAGGGATTTTTTTCCGCATTAGCAACGGATTCGAAAAGATGAAATGAGCACCAATGCGCATTTCCTACAAAATTTTTAGATTTTCTGCAGGTATATCGAATTTTAGATTTTCACAACCAAAAGGGTAAATGTCCACAAAATGTGTAAATACATCCGACTGAGACCACCAGGAGATCTCGGGTCCAGAACAACTTATATTATTCATGCACTACTTATCTATAAGTTCTGGACACGAGATTGAACTATAGTACCTATACTATGAACCTGAGAGTTTTTAGACTTCCTCTTCATCTGTCGTCGTATCTTTTATACCCCGATATACACGTCGTCGTATCTTTTATACCCCGATATACACGTCGTCGTATCTTTTATACCCCGATATACACATGTCGTCGCATCTTGCTCCATTACTGTCCGATTTTTAAACGTTGATTAATCCAGTAGTTCACGAATCATGATCCAGTCCATCTTACCAACTGACGATGTGAAAAGCTTCACCATAGACATCCATTTTCTTTTACTTCACATTATGTTCGTTGCATCTTTTCACCAATTCGTACGCAAATACGAAATTTCCTATAGTTTTTTTTTTGTGAAAACTTCGATCGAAAACGTAATGTATTGCAACTTACTTCATAAACGGTTGCAATAGAGCCAACTTATATAATGGCTTTCAATTCAAAACAATAAATTTGCAGAGCAAGCTTTTTCATGTATAACTTGCTTTTAAATAGAAGTTGAATATATTCAACACTTTTCATTAGTTTTTTTAGTGCAAGCTGCGACGTCATGAAAGCTTGCATATTTTTTTTATTTGAAACCGATGCAGACTAGAACACTTTACTGTAATCTCCCTTGCGCATGCACTAGTAGTAAGTTCTCACTCCTATGTTTTAGCGCTCTGAGAGCTACATCGTTTTGCCTAACTATTGCTTCGAACATACAGAAAATACAAGTGAAGGGCCCAAATCACTTGTATTTACTCATTATTAGAAACAACCAGTGAACTAACAGGGTTGGAAGAACTTAGACTGTAAACCGAAAATTGAAAATTCAAGGAAGACAAACAGTAAAGCGCATGTCTAGCATCAAATACTTCGTGCATAATTCTGTTTATCAAAGCCAAACGACTATAGAGAAAATGTTCCCTTTATAATCAATACGACTCGTCTCTTTATATATATAGAGCTATAGAGTTGTAAAACGTGACCGTGCGCATATAGCTAGGTCTGGAAACGAGTATAGAACTCGACCGTACACATGTAGCCGGGTCTTGCAACTTGACCGTACGCATATAGCTGGGTCTGATTGATAATTTGACCGTTCGCATATAGCTGGGTCTTGCAACTTGACCGTACGCATATAGCTGGGTCTTGCAACTTGACCGTACGCATATAGCTGGGTCTGGCAACTTGACCGTACGCATATAGCTGGGTCTTGCAACTTGACCGTACGCATATAGCTGGGTCTGGCAACTTGACCGTGCGCATATAGCTGGGTCTGGCAACTTGACCGTGCGCATATAGCTGGGTCTTGCAACTTGACCGTACGCATATAGCTGGGTCTGGTAGTTTGACCGTACGCATATAGCTGGGTCTGGCAACTTGACCGTACGCATATAGCTGGGTCTTGCAACTTGACCGTACGCATATAGCTGGGTCTGGCAACTTGACCGTGCGCATATAGCTGAGTCTGGCAACTTGACCGTGCGCATATAGCTGGGTCTTGCAACTTGACCGTACGCATATAGCTGGGTCTGATCGATAATTTGACCGTACGCATATAGCTGGGTCTGGTAGTTTGACCGTACGCATATAGCTGGGTCTGATCGTTAATTGGACCGTACGCATATAGCTGGGTCTGGTAACGAGACCGTACGCATATAGCTGGGTCTTGCAACTTGACCGTACGCATATAGCTGGGTCTGGCAACTTGACCGTACGCATATAGCTGGGTCCTGCAACTTGACCGTGCGCATATAGCTGGGTCTGGCAACTTGACCGTACGCATATAGCTGGGTCTGGTAACGAGACCGTACGCATATAGCTGGGTCTGATCGATAATTTGACCGTACGCATATAGCTGGGTCTGGTAGTTTGACCGTACGCATATAGCTGGGTCTGGCAGCTTGACCGTACGCATATAGCTGGGTCTGATCGTTAATTGGACCGTACGCATATAGCTGGGTCTGGTAACGAGACCGTACGCATATAGCTGGGTCTGGCAACTTGACCGTACGCATATAGCTGGGTCTTGCAACTTGACCGTACGCATATAGCTGGGTCTGGCAACTTGACCGTGCGCATATAGCTGGGTCTGGCAACTTGACTGTGCGCATATAGCTGGGTCTTGCAACTTGACCGTACGCATATAGCTGGGTCTGGTAACGAGACCGTACGCATATAGCTGGGTCTGATCGATAATTTGACCGTACGCATATAGCTGGGTCTGGTAGTTTGACCGTACGCATATAGCTGGGTCTGGCAGCTTGACCGTACGCATATAGCTGGGTCTGATCGTTAATTGGACCGTACGCATATAGCTGGGTCTGGTAACGAGACCGTACGCATATAGCTGGGTCTGATCGATAATTTGACCGTACGAATATAGCTGGGTCTGGCAGCTTGACCGTACGCATATAGCTGGGTCTGGTAGCTTGACCGTACGCATATAGCTGGGTCTGGTAGCTTGACCGTATGCATATAGCTGGGTCTGGGAACGAGTGCAAATGCCAATATAAGAACATCTCGAAAGACTCAAACCAGTAAGATTTCAATCAAGCAAGTTTATTTCAATCATTCTATCGCTGTAGACGACTGACTTTCTGCCCAAACTCAAAATACTGTTGAGGTTTCAGCTGAGCTCTTGAAGTGCGAGCCTTTGTGGACACTCCAGTGACTTCGCAGTTCAGTTGCTTGCACTGGAGCATGCGCCGAACGTTCGGCTGTGGTGTTGATTCTCCACGCATGTCAGTTGGGTCCGAGGACAAGTGCGCGGGAGGACGGCGCCATCCCCCACACGCACGCAACTGACACCCGGGAAAATCAACACCACAGTCGAACGTTCTGCACATGCTTCAGTGCGGGCAACTGAGCTGTGAAATCACTGGAGTGTTCACAGAGATTCCTACTTCAAGAGCACTGCTGAGACTTCAACAGCATTCAGACTTTACACAGAAGGTCAACCATGTACAACAATGAAATAATCTCCATGCCCTTACTTCATTGAAATCCTACATGTTTTAATCGATCTCCTTGTCCTTAAAAAAGGCATTTGATATTTTTGTAATTATTTCGTATTTGCGTACATTTAGGGAAATTACCGAACTCCTTGCAACTTTCATTGGCGGTGGCAAATTCGTTCTAAAATAAGGAAATGAAAACTTGGTAAGAAAAAGCAAGCGCTCCAACAAAACGCAGCGATTACGCATCTGATGGCAAGTCGGGAGTAATTAAACGTTTGTGTGAAAACCACAGACACATAAAATATCTTTTGCCTCGGGCTACTTGTGAAGAAACTGACGCGTTGTCAACACTGGTTAGTATCGTATGTTCTAATTCTAAAAAATCTTCTACAAATGTAACGCCACAAATTTGTTTTATTTCACCTAAAAACCTCCTACTCCATTGCTATGGAAATATTTGCTAACAGTTCGCGTTCAGGCTCAATAGCCTTCATAGAGACTCTTCAACTGAGATAAAACGAATGACTAAATTTCTCTTTATGAAAAAACGAGAAATATTATTTTCAAATGTCTCAATCAGGACAGCTATGTATACTTAATTGTGACAAGTAAATTCGCTTACTATCCTTTGGAGTTCATGGACGAATACATTTTGAACACATGTATTGTACAAAATTTTGTGTTTAAACTCTTAAAGCTTTTGCTTGAAAGCGATGAGAAATGTAATCAGAACATTTAAGAAAATCTAAACAGTATTCTGTAATCCCTGGAGGTCAAATTTAGGCAAACACGGCTGCCTAGTCAAGAACACGCGGTCAAAAGGTCGGCAAACTTAATCGCAATTTCCTGGACAAAATTTCATGAAAAATCAAAGCAAATAGACTTGAAATGCTTAGAAATCCTTTAAGTTTGCTCTCAAACGTTTTATCTCGATATTAAAGGCGACAAATTCACACAAACAAGTAATACCTATTAATTCGCTGCATTGAGACTTTTCCACGTGGCCAGAATTCTTTGGAATTTCATGCTTTTTCTTCATAAATTTCGTTCTAAAATAAGAGAAAATACAAATATGAGTTACATGAAACTATCAAAGGCATTGTTGAAGTAGAATTGACAAGATTATAGCTAGTTAAAGTTCAAGGAAAATCGGCCCAAGGCGATGCATACCTATCAGATTCACTGCATTGTGACTTTCCACGTGGCCAGAATTCTTTGGAATTTCATGCTTTTTCTTCACAAATTTCGTTCTAAAATAAGACAAAATACAAATATGAGTTACATGAAACTATCAAAGGCATTGTTGAAGTAGAATTGACAAGATTATAGCTAGTTAAATTTCAAGAAAAATCGGCCCAAGGCGATGCATACCTATCAGATTCACTGCATTGTGACTTTCCACGTGGCCAGAATTCTTTGGAATTGCATGCTTTTTCTTCACAAATTTCGTTCTAAAATAAGACAAAATACAAATATGAGTTACATGAAACTATCAAAGGCATTTTTGAAGTAGAATTGACAAGATTATAGCTAGTTAAAGGTCAAGGAAAATCGGCCCAAGGCGATGCATACCTATCAGATTCACTGCATTGTGACTTTTCCACGTGGCCAGAATTCTTTGGAATTTCACGCTTTTTCTTCATAAATTTCGTTCTAAAATAAGAGAAAGTACACATATGAATTACATGAAACTACCGAAAGCATTATTGAAGTAGAATTGACAAGATTAGCTGGTTAAAATTCGAGGAAAATCGGCCCAAAGCAGTGACCGGCCTTCGCCAATCCATTCCATTCAAATTTCAATAAAATGCGTTGAACTAAGTACAACCTAACAAACGCTTGCTTTAAATTACCTTTGTACATGCTCTAAGAGCATCCTTCTTTAGAAGAAAGACTGTTCTTTTGGCTTCTATCTTCTATTAATGTCTTCTACAAACTCTTCGTAACTTTTTTTGAGCACAACTGGGCGTTTTGACGAATGCCCCGGCCGTAATGCCCCAGCTCTTTCGACATGCCTTTGTATGACTATGCGAATCTAATTGGTAAGGCCGATTCCCTGCTTTTGATTGGTCGCAGTGTGCAAAGGCTGCAAATAAAGTACTGTGATTGGTCCAATTTGACAGCTTCGATTGGTTTGATTTCCCATGGGGATATTGCTAATTGTTTTTAAATGATTATGCAATTAAAACAATTTGCTTGCCTTGCCAAAATTTGTGATAAACAAGATTATGTAAATTAGTCTACTAATTCACATATGTCAGAAGCAGGATCACTGAGCTATACTTAAATTAATGAGAGCAGGACATATTGCCGACCAATTTTTGCGGCTAGCAGCAGGGCTCTCACTTTTGGGGAAATTTCCCCAAAACGGGGAAATTGGCGGATTTTTGGGGAGCGATCTGGGGAATCGCATTTTTTGGGGAAATTTTTGGGGAATTTTTTGAAATATTGGTCAAGCTAGATGGAAGTACATGGAACTTATGTTTCAATTGTTTTTGCCTGGTTTTGTGCACATTTGGTTCAACTTGTGTTGAAAATGATAAGTGACAAACATTCAGCTGATTCATGACTATCATGAATACACAATATAATTTGATTTGCGAGTACTGTACGCCACGTGCTAATAAACAGGTTATTCACTGACACATGTTTTGAGCTATATAATATATATTTTAATGCCAACGAAACCTTGCAGTCATTTCACTAATCACTCTAGTATCAAAATAGCAGTGCCAAGGTTCAAAATGAACTATTTACTCTACATTACGCAATGATAACAATATCAATTTAGAATCCTTAAAAAATTAAGTGATGGATGAACTGTGAAGGAATGTAACTTTACTCTTTAGTTAACTTTGCTGTTATTGACTATACTAGTATAGGCTAGCAGCAATA